TCAACCTGACTGTTGCGTCTTGACGATCCTTCCTGGGACTTCAACACCACGAATCAACGTAATTGCTGCGCCCTGCCAGTCTTGAATCGTTCAAATAATTGTTCTGATCGGCCAACCATGAGAAATCCTTGATTTGTTCTGGAAGCGTTTGAGCCGAATGTGCGGGCGCTAAGGCGAGAGCCACATTTTGGAAGCGACCCGCCCTCCATGTGTGAAATTGTTGCCAAATTTCTTAAGCTTCGGGAGCATAGATGGCGAAGAAGTCTCGAGCGAAACGCCCAGCTCGCCCTACCGACATGTTTCGGGGAGCGAAACGGATGAGTTATTTCTAAGGAGTAGGGAGGGAGGAAAAGGGGGAGGAGAAGGTTAGAGGGATGAGAAGGGGATGCAAAGTGAAAACGAAAGAGGCGGGGAAGGGCAGGGCGGAGTAAGGAGGGATGGCGGGGGGATCACCGAGGCGGGGGGGAGCATGGAGGGGCAGGGGATGAGAACGCAGGAGGCAAGATAAGGAGGAAACGGGCGAGAGCAGGCAACGAACGAAATTACACACGAGGAGCAATTTTTGATTATGATTTTGAAAAGGATGCAGCGCGACCACAAAACTTCACCCGACTCGGCCTCGGCCGCTCTGCGAATCAAAAGGTCGCTAATCAAACTGGGCAAACCACGCGAACCGGCCTGCGATAAGCAAACACATGCGCTGAACCGTGGCCTGAAGACAGAGCGAGCGTGCCTCATGCGAAACGGCATGAAAAAGCGGCATAGAGAGAGAGCGCAAGGGAGGGAAACATGGAAAAAAAACGAGGTGCCGAATGCGGCGGAACGGCGGCTGGCACTGGACACGAGCTTTGCAAGCACAGCCGGGCACGCACGAAGGGGGAAACATAAACAAATTTGCAAGCCGCTCGGGCAGGGTGGAAGGGCGGGCAGGGCGGACGAGGCTCGCCACGGTCACACACCTCAGCCACGCGGTGGGGCGCAGTAAGCTATTTGCGAAGGGAAAGAACGAAGGAGGAAAAAGGACAGGGGAGGAGGAAAGCAGGGCACCAGGACAAACTCTGGTGCTCCAAGCGGAGGTGTAACCCCTGCGTGACAGGGTGAGGCTGCAAATGAGCATGTAGCCCAGCGAAGCCAATGAACATCAGAAGTGGGAGAGCGTGGCCGGCCGCCCCGAAGCTGGTGCGACCCACGGGCCTCAACGCACAACGGCGCTGCGCGGTAGCCGCCGCCAAAGGCCGAACGCTTCGCCCCGCAACCCCGACCCCGAAGAGGAGAGGGGAGGAGGGGAGGGGGACGGAGGGACGGGGGGGGAGGGAGGGAGGGGGCAGGCAAACTTGAATCCCCCCCCCCTGCGACGCCGCAGGCGCGCCGCGGCCAGGGCTGGCCGGTGCAGCCCCACTTGCGTGGGCAAGCAAGGCGGCAGCCATTCGAGGACGTCAAAGGAGCATGCAGACAGGGAAGGAAGAGAGGCGAGGAGTGGAGTAAATTCGCCAGCCCGACGTGCCAGAGGCGTGCCAAGATCTCCAGCAACAGGTTAATAATATTTCTAGTTCGCGCGCGCGTGGCGGACCCTGGGGATCCCTTGACGAATCATACACGGGCCGATGCCCGGGCGATGCCCCGCTGACTCCCCCAGGGCGCTCCAACGATCCGTCCGAGACGCCTTGATGGACTGAAGGCCCATGAGGCCTGCAAAACGCCCCAAGAAGCCTCCAGGAACACTCCCAAGAAGGCCCCAAGAGGCAAAATGCGAGGTGTTTGAAGGATTGTGGCGCTCTCGCCTATTTCGCTTCTCGACGCTCCAAGACAGCCCCAAACGCCCCCAAGATCGCCCCAAAACGGCCAAAAGTCCTCTAAGAGGCTCCCAACAAGGCCCAAGAGGGCCCCCAAACAGCCCGAAACGCTTCCAAGACAGGCCAAGAGGCACCCAAGACGGCTCCAAGAGGTTGCCCAGACGGGAGGCCTGAACGCACATCTCGAGTCCTCGCCCCCGAGAAGCTCTCATGTGGCCCCAAGACGCCTCGAAAACGCTCTCAAGAAGCCCCAAGAAACCCCTCGAGGCCCCTCTGGAAGCCCTCAAGATGCTCCCAAGAGTCCGCATAACGCCCCCGAGCTGCCCACCAGAAACCTCCGTTAGAGCCCCGACGAGACCCCGACAAAAAAGCACTCCGTCCACCTCCTGCTCCTTACTCTCCTCCTGTTCTTCGGCCTCATCTTCATCGTCCTCCACCTGCCTATTGCCCTTTTCGACCTCCTTCTGCCCCAAGTCCCCCTCCTCATCCTCCTTCGCATGCTTTTCCTCATCCTCCCCCTCCTGCTCCACGGCCTTTTCCTCCTCCTCTTGCCCCCCTGCTCTTCCTCCTCGTCCGCCTCCCCTCCTCGCATTCTCCCTCCTCCTCATCCAGTTGTTTGCCAGAAGATCAAACTATTCTGACATGGTGGTTGATTGGTTCATGATATACGGTATTGTTATACTATCGTCCTTTGGTATGCATTATCAATGGCTTCGACGATCATGGCAATTATGTTATCCGTTAAGCAGAAGCTGCGATAAGTGAGTATATGTAATCCGCGGAGGCCTGTAGACCCCCATTACGGTATATGTTCGGCAGCCTTATTCACGTATTGGTGTTCCACCAATGAAGGGAGGCTAGTTATCTTTTCCCCGCGGCACACACCGCGCAACAACGACGCCGACAGCGATACCTTGGGAGGCCCTCATGGAAACTCTTGGTTCAGAAACTTGGCCCTCAGAAGCGTTATCCTGAAAGCTCTATCCTGAGAAGGACTGTTGTAATTCAGGCCCCGCGCGGGCCCTCAGAAATTCCATCCTCATACGTTTCATCCTCAGAAACTTTACCATCGCAAAGACCGTTGAAGTTCAGGCCCGGCGAAGACAGCAGAAACTCCACCCTCAGAAGCTCCATCCTCGAAAAGATGGTTGAACATCAAACCCCAAGAGGGCCTGCAGAAACACCACTCTCAAACCTCCATCCTTAGAAGGATCGTTGAAGCTCAGGCCTAACGAAAACCTGGGAAATCACACCCTCGAAAACTCAAGCCTCGGAAACCTCATCGTCAGAGGGTTTAGCTGTAGTAACTTCTCTCGCAGGCGCTGATGCCGAAGGCTCGCTCAAGTGGCGTTGTTTCACAGCTGTTGCTGCCCTCAAAGTGCCTCACGCAGGCGCGCATGAGGGCCGAGATAGTTAAATGGACGGCACCCTCACTGGCCCGACGCAGGCTCTCATGTACGTTCCCTAACCCTTCCTTGGGACAACCTCCCTTCTGCGAACACCCTGTGGGCGGAGTAGCTCGACGACCTGGAGGAACTCCCCAGCGCGGCGGCGGCGGCCGCGAGAAGAGGGGCGGGGGGGCGGCGCGGGGCGGCGCCTCGACCGCGGGCTCGACCCGAACCTGTGCAGAGGGCGGCGGGAGAGGGGCGTGCTGGAACGAGGGCCCGTGGCTCGCCCGCCGAGAAGAGGCCCGGACACGGAGACCCCTGGGCTGGCGCCCCCGGGACAGCGGGCCCGGGGCTCGCCCACCGAAGGACAGCCCGGGGAAGAGGACTCCGGGTCCTGGGCTCGGACTCCCTGGAGTTAACCCTGGAGCGTGGGCCCGGGCTCGCGCCTCGCGCTCGGGGCGCCGAGCCGGCCGGCCGCCCCCTCCGGCGATGACCTGGGTCAGGCCGGCGGTCCTTGGACTAACAGGGCCTTGGCCATGTTCCTGCTCGCGCCCCGAACCTCACGATGAGCCAGAGCGGCGATGTGGAGAAAATCTTGGCTTCCAAGGCCACGCTTGCATTTCCATACCCTGCTTCCCCTGGCGCTCAGAGCGGGAGGCAGCAGCAAGGGCACGGATCGAGCGTCGATCGCCGAGGCCAATGATGCGTTTGCTTCGGGAGAAGTCACGCGAGGCGCCCCAAAACTTTGCGTGCCACGCCCGTGGAGCTTTGCGAGATGGGGGTCTGGGCCCCCCAAAACGCATGTAGACTGCCTGAAGGGCTTCCCCTCCTGCCGTCCGCCCCCTCCCCGCGCCACCCCCTCCCGCGCACCCCCTCCCGCCCCCCCGCGCCACCCCAGCCATGCAACGTCTGGAAGAGAACCGGGCCTAACATGTTCGCCGTTTTCTGGGACGCAGAAGGACATACCAGTAGCATGCGCCCCCCTGGGAGGCGCAAGTCCGACCAGAACAGATAGTACGAGCATCTTCTGGACATCGCTACCAGGCTGGTACGGCCAGAAAACGCCCGCCACCGAGCACGTGCTATGACATGTCTGGGCGCGCGCGCGCGTCGCCCCTCCAGGGCCAGCGCACACATTGTGTGAGCATGTCAGGGTGATGCCGATGTTCGGCCTCTGGAGGACCTCTCCGCGCTGCGGGACCTTCAAACTACGACTCTAGACGAAAACCTGGCCCTGGGAGGGACAGCATCGGGACTTCCGGGGATGTCTGGATGTCTTGACACATCGAAACGTCGGATGTCTGGCGCCACCGCCCTCTTTGCCACAGGGAGGAGGGTCGAGGGGAGGGCTCCTTATCGTGATGCATCGCCGATGTATCGGCGATGCACCAGAGACGTCGCCGTCGGAGTGAGAAAACTCAGGCTCTGCATCGAACCGCATCGCAGATGAGATGCATCGCCGATGCGACGCGATCTTCCGACACGGTGTACCCGGACCCCATGTGGGAGACCCGGACCTTGGTCAATACAGGAAGGTGGCGCCTTCCTGTCAATATCCTCCACCATCCCGCGCGGAAAGGAGCTGTCCTGCCACTTTCTTGCAACACCTTGCATTTGCCTTCCCCCTGCCAAGGTACGTGTTGCCAGGTACCCGTCTCAGTGGCGTGACGGGGACCCGGGGCGTGAGCCGACATACAAGACCTGCCCCCCATAGAGTCCCTTCGGCAATTCAGGGCCTCGACGGCCCCCACACATCGGGCTGTTACTCAATAGTCGCTCGCTGAATGGGTTGTGCGATATTTGCGCCGAGGCAGAGCCTAGGAAGGAAGAGAAATATTACTGTTCATCGAGATGCGTGCACGCATCAAGCAGAAAGGAACAAACAAGTGCATACACAATTCTTTCCAGAGCTCCGCGGGGATTTCTTCGCTCACGTTCCACCGGTCTTGGTATCGAGCGTCAGGCGGGGTAGAGAGGCCGCACCCGAATGAAAGGCAGCTTTGGGTTTGGGAACTGACTCTTTCGTTCCCGAAATCGTGAACAAAGGGCGAGGAGTACACAACTCCATACAAGTAGACACTGCGAGTCCCCAGCCGTCGTGTGGTGTTGGGCCCTCGTTTTGAAGAGACGGTCCAGGCGTTTCCCTTCCTTCCTTCCTTCCTCCTCCTCCCCCTCCCGCTCTTCCCTCATTTCGTGGCCCCGTAGGGAGCTCCACCGAAGGCTCCAGTGGGACCGCCCGCATGCGTCATCCACCACCCAGTACAGCGTTTCGTGGCCCCATACGGACTCCACCGAAGGCGCTGGTGGGACCGCCCGCATGCGTCATCCACCACCCAGCGCTGCACTTCGTGGCCCCATAGAATGCTCCAGCGACGGTTCCAGTGGGACCGCCCGCATGCGTCATCCCCCATCCATCACAACGCTTCGTGGCCCCATAGGGAACCCCACCGAAGGCCCCAGTGGCTGCGCCCGCATGCGTCATCCACCACCCAGCACAGCGCTTCGTGGCCCCATAGAAGGCTCCACCGAAGGCCTCAGTGGCTGCGCCCACATGCGTCATTCACCACCCAGCACAGCGCTTCGTGGCCCCATAGGTAGCCCCACTGGGACCTCCCGCGTGGGTCATCCAACACCCATCACAGCATTTCGTGGACCCGTAGAGAGCTCCACCGAAGGCTCCACTGGGACCGCCCGCGTGCGTCACCCACCACCCAGTACAGCGCGTCGTGGCCCCGTAGAGAGCTCCACCGAAAGCTCCAGTGGGACCGCCCGCATGCGCCACCCACCAGCCACCCAGTACAGCGCTTCGTTGCACCATAAGGGGCTCCACCGAAGGCCCCTGTGGGACCGCCCGCATGCGTCATCCGACACCCAGTACAGCGTTTCGTGTCCCCACAGGGACCACCCAAGATCTCCATGGCGAAACTCGCATGGCGGCCCCAATGGCGGAGTTCGCATGGCGGCGATGTTCGATGTTCTGATTTTTTTCGTCGTATTCGACGTGTTGGGGCCGCTTTCGGGCCGCGAATCCTGGGCGGGAGCCAGCTTGCTCGCTCTCTGCTCCGCGCAGCGGACGACCCGCGCGCGTCGCCAGGACCCCTTCGGGGCGACCAGCGCGCGTCGCGGGGACTCCGTGCGGCGCCGCGCCCGCAGCCTTGGACGTGGGCGCGCACGGGCAAAGAGGGAGAAGGAGAACGGGAAGGAAGCGGGCGCGATCCTCGTGAGAGGCCTGCCGACATGGGCGTCGAAATTTATGCACATAGACTCACGCGCGCGTAGACTCATCCACAATCAGACTCTCTCGCTCTCAGTCTCTCGCACACAGACCTATCGTCTTCGTTCGCGTTGTGTGCCTCGCCACGCATGCCGGCACGACCCTCCTCACACGGTTCGTGGCCGCATAGGGAGCGCGGGCGAAGATGATATTCAGAATTGTGGTATTCATAACTGCGTATGGTTGGGTCCTTCGCCAGGCTAATTGACGTTCCGCTCCCCCCTCCTGGCGCACGGCCACATGACCTGACGTGACCGGCTCCAGCACGCAGGAGAGTTCCCAGACGGCCCTCTGGGGCCGTCTGGGGGCTCCCTTGAATGTGGGAGGGATCTGAGGGAAGTCATCACGGCCTCTGGGGATCTTTTCTATGTGGGCCTCTGGGGACTTCTAGGTGAAGTACTGTGGGGCTGTCTGAGGAGCCATGCTTGGGACACCTTAGCATCCTGAGGCGCGTCCACTCCCCGCTACACCAGCTAGGTTCTGCAAGCAGGTGTAACACCTGCTTGCAGAACCTTGCCAGCCTGGGCCACGGGGCCAGAGCGGGAGGCGAGGGAGGCGGGATGGGGGAGAGGGAGTGAAGGACGGAAAGCACCAACCTGCCTGTGGCGACGAAGAAGCAGAAAAACATCCTCGGTCCCTCGATCCCCGAATCCTCGAGTCGTCCGACGTCCTCCGAGCCTATGTCCTCGATCCCCGGATCCCCCATGCGTGCCCATCCTGGCCTGGTGACCCTCGGGGCCTTCGCCGACTACCCGAGGGAGACAGGCTGAGAGGTCACTGGAGAGAGGCGGCGCGGCGCGGAGAAGAGCGGGGATGCGCGCGCGGCTGCCTCCTGCTGCTCCTCCTTCGCCCGTTGGCACTGGCGCATTACGAATACTAGCTCCTAACTCATCCCTGCACTGACTCTGTCCGGATGGTGTCCCGGGCTCTCCGCGCATTGCTTCTTACGCGCAGGATTGGACAGAGCTGTTCTGCCTCACGGCTTGTCAGCATGCAGTTGTGCTCGGTGTTTCAGAGTGGTGTTCCCGCCGCAGGGTGGGCCTCACTTTCGGATCGGCGCTTTGCTGCCGTCGTTCAGAACGGCGATCTCGCCCCAGCGCGGCCCACATTTCCAGATCCGACTCCTTTCTCACCGTTGTCGCCCCCCTCCTTTCCCATCCGCCTTCTCCTGGTCCTCCTGCTCCTCCCGCTCTTCCACTCCAGTCCTCGCTGCTGCTGCTGTTCGTCCTTGTCCTCCCCCTTCCTCGTCCTCCTGTTCCTCCTGCTCAGCTCCCCTTTTCCAATTGCGCATAGCACGATGGGGTATTGTTGGGAGTTCCAGGTCCGCTATGACAGCGCAATGGGAAGCGATAGGTGAAAGGGGTAGGATGTCACATATGGCGCGAGCGCACATAGCTTATCCCTCTCCTCTCTATGTCCCAATGCCTCTTTCCTCGGATGGCTCTTCATTAGTCTACCCCTTCAATGGGATTGACGGACACAATCAAGCCATAGGGGGAAAGATAAAGCCGCACTGCCACACGAACGTGAAATAGAGGCTCGCTACTTTGTCCGAGGCATGCTGTAGACAAAAACACCCTCGAATCTCGATCCTCGATCCTCCGTATCAGTCGAGCGCACGCTGACATGGATCAGTTACGGATCTGTCGATCTGACGCATGGACGCCCAACCCACGGATCCACGGATCTGGGACAGCACATCCCGAAATAGGAGGCCAAGGCCGCCTCGCTTGGCGACGGAGCACCCGACTTTGTTGTGAAGACGGGACCCGCCGCTAGTCCACACGCCTCAGTCTTTTTCCCAACCATCCTGTGGTGTTGGGTCCTCGCTTTGAAGAGACGTCGCGTTCCTTCCTTCCTTCCTTCCTTCCTTCCTTCCCGCTGCCCCCTCCCTCCTTCCATCACCCCATTTCGGCACACCCCTCACGCGTTTCGTGGCCCCATAGGGAGCTCCACCGAAGGCCTCAGTGCTGCCGCCCGCATGCGTCACCACACTCAATTCGGCACACCCCTCACGCGTTTCGTGGCACCGAAAGCCTCAGTGCTCCCGCCCGCATGCGTCCCGCACACCCAATTCGGCACACCCCTAACGCGTTTCGTGGCGCCATAGGGAGCTCCACCGAAGGCCCCAGTGCTGCCGCCCGCATGCGTCCCGCACACCCATTTCGGCACACCTCTCACGCGTTTCGCGGCCCCATAGGGAGCTCCACCGAAGGTCCCGATGGGTGTGCCCGCATGCGTCCCTCATACCCATTTCGGCACACCCCTCACACGTTTCGTGGCCCCATAGGGAGCGCCACCGAAGAAGATATTCACCATTGCGGTACTCAAAATTGCATATGGTTGAGTCCTTCGCCAGGATAATTTTTTGCGAGCCCTCGATCCTCAATCCTCCGCGGATCAGGAGCCACGTCACGGGCCGTCGCGTGCCGCCAGCTCTCAACCCGCTGCGGAGGCGCGGGCGGGGGCGCGCCCCCACGCTGGCTGCGCGCTCTTGTCCGGCTGCCTAAAGGGTGCCTCGGCGCGGGCGGCCGCGGGAGCACCAGCTGGGCGGCGATGACGGTGGCGACGACAACCGACGGCGTCGGCGATGGCGGCAACAACGACGACGGCGGCGGCGGCGGCGACGGCGAGGGGGCCGTCGCGGGCGTTGTGCCATTGCTCCGTGAGAGTGGCCGGCGGCAAGCATAGGGGCCTTGCCGCTGCCGAAAGCAAGCTCCCGTCCACCACCCGTGGACTGCAGCACCGCCTCGAGAAGTTCGAGCGGATTTGTCTCGGCCTCCCGCCCAAGGCTGTCCTGCCGAGGGCCCAAGGGCGTTGAATTTTGGGGTCTGGCGGGGCGGCGGCGGGTTGGCCCTTTTGGCTCGCCAGTTCCTTGGCCGCTCTGCTCCCCCTCCAGCTTGCGCCTGCCGCCAGCGCCCAAGGTGCCCGACTGGGCCGCCCAGCACCTGAACTCGCGCTGTGCGAGCATGGAAGCACAAGTAAAGGCTCCAGTGGCTGTGCCCGCATGCGTCCCAAACACCCATTTCGGCACACCACTCACACACTTCGTGGCCCCATGAGGAGCTCCACCGAAGGCCCTAGTGGCTGCGCCCGCATGCGTCCCCCACACTCATTTCGGCACACCCCTCACACGCTTCGCGGCCCCGTAGGGAGCTCCACCGAAGGCCTCAGTGGCTGCGCCCACATGCCCACACTCAATTCGGCACACCCTTCACACGCTTCGTGGCCCCATAGGGAGCTCCACCCAAGGCCAAAATTGTTGCGCCCGCATGCGTCGCCCACACCCATTCCGGCACACCCCTCACACGTGTCGTGGCCCCATAGGGAACCCCACCGGAGGCCCCAGTGGCTGCGCCCGCATGCATCCCCCACACCCATTTCGGGACACCCCTCACACACTTCGCGGCCCAATACGGAGCTCCACCGAAGGCCCCAGTGGCTGCGCCCGCATGCGTCCACCACACCCATTCCGGCACAACCTTCGCACGCTTTGTGGACCCACAGGGAGCCCCACCGAAGGCCTCAGTGGCTGCGCCCGCACACGTATCCCACACCAATTTCGGCAAACCCCTCACACGCTTCGTGGCCCAATACGGAGCTTCACCGAAAGCCTCAGTGGCTGCGCCCGCATGCGTCCCCCATACCCATTTCGGCACACCCCTCACACGCTGCGTGGCCCCATAGGGAGCTCCACCGAAGCCTTAGTGGCTGCGCCCGCATGCGTCCCCCACGCCCATTTCGGCACACCCCTCGCACGCTTCGTGGCTCCACAGGGAGCTCCACCGAAGGCCCTTGTGGCTGCGCCCGCATGCGTCCCCCACACACATTTCGGCACACCCCTCACACGTTTCGTGGCCCCATAAGGAGTTCCACCGAAGGACCAAGTGGCTGCGCCCGCATGCGTCCCCCACACTCATTTCGGCATACCCCTCACACGCTTCGTGGCCCCATAGGGGGCCCCACCGAAGGCCAAATGGTTGCGCCCGCACGCGTCCCCCACACCAATTTCGGCACACCCCTCACCCGCTTCGTGGCCCCAAACAGAGTTCCACCGAAAGCGTCAGTGGCTGCGCCCGCATGCGTCCCCCACAGTCAATTCGGCACACCCCTCACATGTTTCGTGGCCCCATAGGGAGCTCCACCGAAGGCCCCAATGGCTGCGCCCGCATGCGTCCCCACGCCCATTCCGACACACCAATCAAACGCTTCGTGGCCCCATAGGGAGCTCCACCCAATTCCCCAGTGCCACCTTCCACATGCGTCCCCCGCACCCATTTCGGCACACCCCTCACACGTTTCGCGGCCCCATAGGGAAGTCCGCCGAAGGCCCCAGTGCCACCGTCCACATTTGTCTTCCACACCAATTCCGACACCCCCTCTCACACGCTTCGTGGAACCATTGGGAGCGTCACCGAAACCCCCAGTACCACCGTCCGCATGCGTCCGCTGCACCCACTTCGGCACACCCCTCACAGGGTTCGCGGCCCCATAGGGAGCGCCACCGAAGAAGACATTCACAATTGCAGCAATCAAAACTGCATATGGCTGGGTCCTTCGCCAGGCTAATTTCTAACGGCCTTTTTGCCCTGGCGAAGGACCCAATCATATGAAGTTGTGGGTACCGCAATTATGAATATCTTTTTCGGTGGATATCCCGATGGGGCCAAGAAGCGCTGCACTGGGCGGGGGGGAGCGCATGCGGGTTGTAGCACAGGGGCCGTCGGTGAAGCTCCCCATGAGGCCACGAAACGCTGCATTGGTTGGGTGGACTTACCAAATTAGGCGTGTGGGACGCACGCGGGCGGTCCCATTGGGGGCTTCGGTGGAGCTCCCCATGGGGCCGCGAAGCGTTGTAAAGGGTGGGTGAAAATGCCAAATTCGCCGGCCCAGCGGGCCAGAGGCGTGCTAAGATCTCCGGCAACTGCTCAACAATATTTCTAGTTCGCGCGCGCGGGGCGCGCCCTGGGGGTCCCCGGGCGAAAAATACCACGGCAAGGTCCCGCCTGACTCCTGGCAGACTCCCGGTAAGGTCCCTTTTTCGAGAGCAGGAGGGCTCCAAACAGTCCAAGACAGGCCCGAGAATCCCTCCAGACGGTCCAAGAGAGCCAAAAGATCACGCCCAAACGCCTGCGATGGCCTCAAGACGGCCCAACAGGCCTTGAAAATGCCAAATTCGTCCCCAAGAGGTGAGCGGCAAAAGAAATCTCAGTTCCCTTTTGCATTTTAAATATATATTATATATATATATATATATATATATATATATATATATATATATATATATATATATCCGCCTCTTCGTCTTTCACACCTTTCAAGGCGGTCCAACAGGCCCCCAATATCACCCCAAGACGGCCCGAAAGACCCTCAAGACCGCTCAAAGACGGCCCAAGAGCGCTCCAAGAAGGCCCAAGAAACCCTCAAGAAATCAGGAGGCTCCAGATCGGTCCAAGAGGGGCCCGGGAAGCCCTCCAGACGGTCCAAGAGAACCGGGAACGCCGAAATATTACTCCCAAGCGCCCACGATGGCCTCAGGACGGCCCAACAGGCCTTCAAGACGCCCCAAGAGGTCCCTAAGAGGCCCCTTGGCGGCGTCCCAAGAGGACCCCCACTAGCAAAAATCGTCCCATTCCCTTGGGAAAGCGTGCATTTTTAACATATCCGCCTCTTCGTTTTCCACGCCTTTCAAGGCGGTCCAAGAGGCCCCCAAGAAGGCCCAAGAAACCCTCAATAATTCTTTTTCGGAGCCCAGGAGGGCTCCAAATCGGTCCAAAAGGGGCCCGAAAAGCCCTCCAGGCGGTCCAAGAGGGCCGGGAAACGCCGACAGATCACACCCAAGCGCCTACGATGGCCTCGAGGCGGCTCAACAGGCCTTCGAGACGCCCCAAGAGGTCCCAAAGCGGCGTCCCAAGAAGGCTCCCGCAAGCAAAAATCGTCTCATTTCCTTGGGACAGCGTGCATCTTTAACATATCCGCCTCTTCGTCTTTCACACCTTTCAAGGCGGTCCAACAGGCCCCCAATATTACCCCAAGACGGCCCGAAAGACCCTCAATACCGCTCAAAGACGGCCCAAGAGCGCTCCAAGAAGGCCCAAACAACCTCAAGACGGCCAAAGAGGCCCCAAGACGGCCCCATGAGTGAGGTCCACAGGGGCAACCTGAACGGAAGTTTTGAGCCTCCCGCCCAAACGCGCCCCCGTAAGCCCCTACAAGCCCCCAAGTAGCCCCACGCAACCCCCAAGAGAGCCCCAAGAAGCCCCAAACAGGCCGCAAGAAAGCCCCAAGAGGCCCCCGAGAGACCCCCAGGAAGATCCCAGGAGGCCCCCAAGGCCAGGCAGAGAGGGCCCACCCAGAGCCATCCGCGAGGCCTCCCAAAGTTCCCAAGAAGCTCCCACGAAGTTTCCAAGGGCTCCCAAGACCCCACGAGGCCCCCAAGAGCTCCCAAGAAGCTTCCCAAAAGCCTCCAAGGGCTCCCAAGAGGGTCACAAGTACTCTTCCTGAGAAGCTCCTTGGCGCTCCCAGAAGAGACTCCCAGAAGCATCCATGAGCTCTCCGAGATGCGCCCTCCCCATATCCCCAACACTCAGTTTTTCTCGCGTCCCTCACCCTTGGATCCTTCACTGCGTTTTCCTCCAATTTCGATTGGATGGGGATGAGCTCGGGGTGGTCCTGGAAATGTGCGGGGGGCTCTGGAGGTCAGCGTGGATTATGAGAGGTTGTCGGTTGCGTGTCTTCTGTAAGCACAACCAACAATATGAATAATGGAAAGACCGCGCATACATCACCGACCCCCAAACGGCCCACATGCGCATGCATTCGGCAACGTGTATGATGTGGGATGTCAAGCACAACTGGCCCCATCCTCCTCGAAGTGGTCGCCCTCATCATATTCCGCCCCCACCTCCTTCTATCCGTCCCTCCCTCCCTCATTTCATATCCCTGCCCCACTTCCCTCTCCTCCGTTTTCTCCTTTTCCCCCTCATATTTCCTCCCACAGTGGGGTGGGACGGACCCCGGGCGAACCCTCAGAAACCCTGACAACATGCAGGATTCCCTGCAAAGCTCCGAGGAGGAGGAGGAGGAGGAGGAGGAGGAGGAGGAGGAGGAGGAGGAGGAGGAGCAGCAGCAGGAGGAGGAGGATCAGCAGCAGCAGCAGCATAACGGCCCACGAGACGCCCGAACGGCCCAAGAGAGCCCCAAGAGGGCCCCAAAAGGGACCCAAGAGAGGGAACACGAAACGACAATTCGAGACTTCCGCCCCAAGCAGCAGCCCCCATGAGGCCTGCAAGAGACCCCAAGAGGCCTAACAGAAGCCCCAAGAAGCCCCCCGACGGCCCCCAAGAGCCCTCAAAACTGCCTCCAAAGAAACCCCCGAAAGGCCTGCCACGATATCTCAACGAACATCCAAGAGGCTTCTGACCTACAACCCAGGCGCGGTGGCGGGATGGGCCGAAAACCACTAGATCCGCCGCCCCCTGCTTGCAGGGGTGCACGGCGTGCTGGACGAGCTGTTA